AGCACCCATGGCAATGGAGAGACCAAGTTGGCACAGAGAGAAATGACTGGCGTTCTTTGTGGAGCTCGGCCAAAATGGCTTAGACGGTTACAAAGCCAAAGTAGAAGAAGAATATGCAAATGATAAATGACGGAGTTGGGGGACCATTTTCTTGGATGCGCCAGGAGGAACTAGCAAAATATTCCTTATCAGATGGATTCTGGCAACGGTTCGATCAAAAAATTACATTACCTTAGCCATCGCTTCGTCTGGAATTGCTGCGACATTATTACCAGGTGGAAACATTGCCAATTCAGCTCTTTAGCTGCCATTGAACATATAAATCATCGAAACTCCCACGTGCAATATTTCCAGAGCATCCGGTATGAAAAAAGTTTACCAAAAAATTAAATTCATTGTTTGGGATGAGTGCACCATGGCACATAAAAAATCGTTTGAGGCTTTTGATCCATTGTTGCGGGATTTGCGTGGAAACGTTCAACCATTCGGGATATTGCTCGCAGGAGATTTTACGAAAACATTGTCTGTAGTTTCTCGATTAACACGAGAGATAAATGCTTGCCTGAAATAGTCAACATTGCGACAAGACGAACATACATACACTGCAGCTGAAGTATTCGCGCGACAATAACTGGACATTGGGAACGCAAAGCTGCCAGTCAATGAGAGATTAAGACGAATTTTATGGCCTGATAATTTTTGTAAATTAGAAACATCGAAAGGAGAACTGATCGAAAGAATGTTTCTTTATTAAGAAAATTAATTTTAGGAATCACGATTGGCTCAGTGAACGGGCTATTCTTGCTGCGAAGAATAAGGAGGCCTATCAACTAAATAATAGTGGTATTGACAACAGTCGTTGCTTGAGCTGATCAGCTCTTTTACTAGACTGCCAGACCACTTGCTCACTGTGGTGAATACCACTAATGTTATTCAATCCAGCATTCAACGTGAGGAAATAGCATATACGTCGATAAACACCGTTGTGGAAAAAGACCATCCAACGAAATTTTTGAACTCGATTAATCTTCCAGGGAGACCTCACATACTGAAATTAAAAATAGGTTTGACAGTTATCATGTTGCGGAATATTAATCAGCGAAAACTCTGCAACGGAATGCGACTCGCAGTTAAGAAATTGATGAAGAACGTAATGTAAGAAAAGATTTTAACGTGGCCTTTCAAAGGTGAAGAATTCCCATGATTCCATTTAATGATGATGATTCAATTTAAAAGATTTGAATTCCCAATTCGATTGACATTCGGAATCACAATCAATAATGCTCCAGGTCGAACTTTGGAAAAGTATGGTTTAGATTTAGATGCGGATTGCTTCTCAGATGTTGCGTGTTCCTGTGTCGGCAAACCAGATATCCTTGATATCTATGCAGAGAAAGGAAAAATAACAAATATTGTGTGCACACGAGTACTTATTACATAACCAAACACATATGAAACGTATGCTTTGTTTCGTTAATAATTTATCGTCCATATAACAGAAATATGCCACAGCAAAGCGTGGCAGGGTACAGCTAGTAGATATTATAAAAACACTTGAGTTTACATGCAAGTACAGTAGGGTGGTCCAAAACAAGTAAGTAAAGAAACAAATTTTCGTAGATATAGTATAGAATTGTTGAAAATCAGTATTTCTCGATCCGAAAACTCTGGTTCTCTTCAGGAAACTTTCAATAATAATAACAAATTGTTTATTTAAACATTTTTCAATACTAACGATTTTTTATTGGCCAACGCATTGCATTTGTCTGGGTTTTTGGATATAGATACTATGAAAAATGGTAAAAAACAATTGGCTATTATTATTGGGAATCTTATGCAGAGAAACAGAGTTTTCCGATCGCAAAATATTAATTTTTAAGAATTCTATACCATTTCTACAAAAAGTTGTTTTTTCCCATATAAAATATATGGAAAACTTTGAGCGCTTTAAGCGATCTCTAAATATTTTCTGATATGAAAATAAAAAATATGGGTATATTTTTCCGGTATAGAACAATGCTAGGGGGTGAGAGCATACAAATTCCACTTTTTCACATGCATTTTTGGATCCCCCCTAATGTACAGCCTGTTTGTTATTTTTTTTGAATGTTCATTATCTTTTTGTAAAAGTATAGCTCATCATCTAACATAATCCCATAAATCCAAATATCAAACTGTATACAAAAATTAGAGCAATTTCACAAACTTGTCATCACAATTCCAAGGTTTTTATAGCATTACCATATTAAGTTATACTTTTGGCAAATAAAATTAAACTCTGGGCAAACGGACTTACAGCCAGTTTCACCAGATTCATTTAAGTGAAAATTTGATTTTCGAATTTTTGATTTCACCAATCCATTTTAATTTGTTAAAGTTTAAATTTATTTACCCAAGGTTTACATGAATCTATTTGCTGAAAGTTTAAATCCGTTTGCCCAGAGTTTAATTTTATTTGCCAAAAATTTAACTTAATGTGACAATGCTATAATTATAAATACTAGACTAGACTATTAAAGTTTAGTATAATAAAGTTCAAGCTTTAAGTTGCCAAATTATCCCGTTGATTTTTTATAGTTATTTGCTGACGGCATCAAGTATATTATTTCATACGAAGTATGGTAAAATTTTATTTGTTGGGAAGAAGATGCATAAATTTTTAATAAGCTATAAAACTGCATACCAAAATTTTTGTATAATGTTTGAAATTCGGATTTATGTATATGGCTTTGTCAGGTAGTGAACCATACTTTTATAAAAAATTAATAATATTAATTTGTCTAAAACTATATATTTACATAATGTTAGTGGTGCTGGATCTGCCCATATCTATGTATGTATGTATAATTGGTATGCACATTTGGGAATTTGTATTTTCCAGTAAAACTTACATACATAATACATGTTTTCAAAACTGAAAATGTAATAAATAAAAATTTAAATACAATAGAAATGAACGCATTTTATTTCAACGGTTTAGTATTGTTTAATTCAAATTTAGTTTTATTGCTGTTGGCAAGGCAGGTATGTACATATTGTGCATTAAACATTTCATATACATATATATATATACAGTCATGTGAAAAATAATAGCTACATGACATTTTGACCAGTTTTTACTATTTTTCTTTTGTTTGTTTCATGATTATTATGTGTTTTATAAAAATACGGCTAATTACCTAACAAAAACCATAAGTCCAAATTTCAAACTTTGTAGAAAAATTAGAAAAATTCAACAAATTGGTACAAAGAAACCAAACTTTTTATTAAGAATTTCTATAAAAATATATAAAATACAAAAAAGTATGCAGTTTTATAGCCCATTAAATTCTAGCTCAATAAAGTGCAAGTTTGAAGTGGCTAATAATTCGCGTTGATTTTTGATCATCTTTTTGCTGAGGGTATCAAGAATCTTCTCCATACAAAGTATGCATGTTCAACAATTATTATTTGTTTTATAGCGGAAAATAATACCACCGGAAAAAATATCTAAAATCAACGCGAGTTCTAGACGCTTGAAACTTTTTTAAGCTAGAATTTAATGGCCTATAAAGCTGCATACTTGGAAATTTTCCAAAAATTCCTAAGAAAAATTTGTTTTTGTTGTAAACATTTTTTGAACTTCTCTAATTTTTCTACAAAGTTTGAAATTTGGACTTAAGGTTTTTTGTAGATAATTAACTGTATATTAATAAAAAAAATAATAATAAACATGAAACAAACAAAAAAAAAATAGTAAAAGCTGGTCAACATGTCGTTTAGATATTATTTTTCACTCAATTTACTCAACAAAACTCTCAAATATCAAAAGTGGAGCTGTCATTTGTATACATATGTATGTACCTGGCAGCACACATATGTACATATTAACGCACATATCGTGATCAGGACCATTACATAAGTTCCAGTGCTTTGGTACTTACAAAAAGTGCTTTGGTTCTTACAAAAATACTCCCACTTCGGATTATGAAGGTATAACTACGGTGATTACAATTAGTTTGGAAAAAGTGCATATTATATCGTCGCTGGAATAATGAAATAGTGTAACATGAAAAGTATAGTTTTGAGAAAAACGAATTGAAAGTTTTTATAAACCATTACAAATCATACAAATACAATTTCTTTTTTCGGGAATAAATTAGTGAGCCAAAGAGATATTTAAGAAAACTAAAGATTTTGCTAATAGATTAAAGGATTGTCTATCCAATGGTGCAATTATCGAATAATAGTGTATGTGTCATTTACACTGTTTCTTTATTCGAGCGACGATATAACAAAATTTTTCGTTTGTGCTTTTAAAAGTAACTGCAAGTAATCTTTTTGTAGTTTAAGTAAAAATTTTAAGTACCAATACATCAGTATGGCTGTATTATTAAACGCATCAATGGAAAGCATCAGTCTCTTTTTATTTCCACATCAAATGAGATTAAAGTATCCAAATTGTGCAACTTTATTTAAAATTGGTATTTCTGCATGGTTCCGCTTATTGAACTTTACTTCGCAATGATTTAGAAATGCAATATAATGATGCTTTGAATTAATGTGTTTAAGAAGACAGCCGTAATTATGTACTTTTACTTGCACACAATATTGGAACGATTACTTGTAAATATTTTTAAAAACACAAACGACTATAAAAGGAAACGTAAGGACCGTAAATATACTTTCAAAATCCGAAGTGCGAGTTATTTATTCCCTACACTTTGCACATATTTTGTAAGTACATATCGTCCCGTTTCTGCCTTAACCACGTATCTACAATTTTTGGGAAAATAAATATTACCACTTATAACAGCTGTTTAAGCGTCACACTATTTGAAAATAGAACAAAGAATTAATGAGGGTTCCCACTACTGTTAGTGGAACCAGAAATATTAAGTAAAAAAATGCGTTTATTGTATCCTAGGGGAAGAAATTAAGCATTTTTTCTTACACTCTCTAAAATACCTCTTTTGCAGATACGAGGTTAAGGCAGAAACGGGACGATATGTATGTTTGTCTATACATACATAAATATGTATGCATTACTTAAAAAAATAATATTATTAAAATTGCATTTCTTCTTCTCCTTCTCTTGGAATCTCAGTACAAGTTTATATACTTCTGTCTTAAATTCGACAGCTAATGCAGGAAACTTTGTGTGCCAATCACGTCCATTTGCCGTAATGAAACTGCCTATGTCCGCGTTCCACTACTTTAGTATACGATTAATCGTCATTACGCCGTCGTTTGGCAACAATGGTTGGTGTCTGAGTGTTCTCATTTTCATCAATGGTATCCAAAGTACCCAAGTCCTACAAGGAAACCAAATTAATAATGCAATAGAACATAATATTCAGTAAATTATGCATACATACCTCTGATAAATTTGAAATTGTTGGTGCCTCCAATCGCAAAGTCGGCTCTAGAAACTTTAACAAATGGCAGATCTGTGGTGGTGGCTTGGTAGAAGCTCCTTGTCCACTCTTTGTTGAATTCATTTTGTTAAAAGTTGTCTGTAATAGCATGTATGCATTTAAACAATGAAATATGAAATGTCTCGGAAAGTGGATATAGTGATAGAACTTTTTAGAAAAGTATCGATAGTAGTACTCATATGGAATACTCTAAAAAAGTATCGATACCAGTACTCATATTTGCAAAAAGTATCGATAATACTTGTACTTCCAAGTATTCTCAAAGGAAACGCAAAAAGCAAACAAAAATCAGATTGCTTTGCTTTTTTCACCCCTTCCTATTAGTAAATTGTAAAGGAGTTATTGGAATAAACTTCCAATAAGATTATTTTTACATGCGTAAATTAAATGTTTATAGCAAAAGGTTTTTTTCAAGTTTTTAAAAACGAATATTTTATAATTGTTGGACGGGTACATGTATTTATTAATAACTTTACTTTGAAAATGAAAAGCAAATGTAGAAGACCAGAAGAAAATGTGTTGAAGCCCATTCTCTATTGGAAAGATAAAATCTCTTTCATAAAAATTTTCTTCAAGAATGGGCTGGATTTCGAATTCACAACGAAGGTAGAATAGATGGGTTAACGACGGCTGCCTTATGCTGGAAAGTGGCCAAGTTGTCGAGTCAGATGACCATCCTCTTCCACCATTCATTATCAAAGGGGAGGCAAGATATTCGTTTTTCAATTATTTAAACATTTTTACCCGAAGCCAATGCTGAAATGACCGCTACATTTTCTTCTAGGTTGTGTAAAACTTTCATAACTGTGTAAATTACCAGTAGCATACCAGAACAAAATATGTATTAATTATTAGTATGGGAGTATACATATTGTCGCCCGCCGTGTCGTAGCCAGGATTTTGGGAAGAGGGGCCATGAAAAAAAATCTGCGATAATTTTAAGGTGAGACCCACAATAGCTAGAGGCGTCGCCCATGTGTATTCTTTCATACATATATGAGGCATTTTTACCGTTATATATTTTTTGTCTAAGTGAGAAGGACAATAGGTTTGCTCGTAGACTGTACAAGGGTTTTATAAAGCTCTGAATTAAGGCCTTTTTCACGCTCTACATGCATATATATATATATATATATTTTTATAAGCCTCTTCTTTTATGCGGGTTTCTCTTCCATTTCGTGATTAGTGCAAATCCCCTACAAATTTAAACTTTTAGACATCTATAAAATTTCTTCAAGCAAAGTTATAGATGCACTTCTATAAATTTTAGGTTTCAAAGAAATTGCGCATTCCCTTCTGGAAGTAGGGTTTGTCTTCACGGTGGAGAGAATACAGAAGGTGGCGGTGATGGCAATACCGCTAATCGGCTCTCACTGAATTTGACAGAATCAGCTGTTTTGCTGACGTCACAGTCGAGATGACAGCAGTAGTGATGTGCTGAGTCAATACTTTTAAGTATCCAATACTCTCGACACTCGGGACCGAAACATTTAGGTTTCGAATAAAAGCGCACATAGGCCAAAAATATGAAAAAAACGGTTCAGGGGAGACTCGCCTATCTACACCCGAATGTAGGAGCCAATAGAGCTTTTAATACTGATTCAAACGAAAGATGTATATATGTCGGTTCGAGGCCATAATACAGAGAAACTCTTACTTGTTTGAAGCATTTTTGTTCCAGCTGAATCGGACGATATCATTTTTGTAGGCAGATTCTGTAACCAGTCAGCGACAATTTTCGAATCGGTATCGGTTTTGTTGACGTATGATATGAAATATTTTTACGTCAATAAGTGTGATATCGATCCGAAACTTGTCGTTAACAGTACCGGGTACCGATAAAGAAGTATTGGGTACCGAAACCTTTTTTAAGTATGAGGTACCGACAATTCAGCACATCACTAGAGAGCAGTATTATTTGCCGCTCTCAGTTGTAAACTCTACGGTGACCTCACGCCAAAATTACTCTCACGAATTGTGCTGCAATCGGCGCAATCTTGTATTATATCATTCTTGGTTTGTCTTAATAAATATCATGAATGCTCTTCAGTCATACCTTCCGGCTCTTTATGGACGGGAGAGAAAAGGAAGTGGAATTTTATAACAGCATTTTCAGACCGAGAAAACTGTTATTACTCTCTGTTTACTATTACTTTAAACTCTCTTGTATTTCTGGTAGACCAATGTGTAGATATTTAGCTCGAAACCGGAAACCGGCCCAACGTGCAAAAATACACTAGGCTTTTCAGACGGTCTTAAATAGGCTTTTCGGAGCTTAATATTTACATGCATAATCCAATAATCGATAATCTCAAATATTTATAAAAATTAATTTGCCATTAGTATGAAATAAAAAAATTACAAATCAGAAGAATAAAATGGTATTGTGTTATTAAATCGAAAGTAAAAAAATAGTGCTTTGTTGGCGAAGGGGGGGGCGGATCTATCCCCCCAATCCGCTCCCCTGGCTACGCCACTGGTCGCCCGTATACCATAAACATGTGTAAAAATGAAAATTTTGGGAAATCAAGTTTGAAAGATTTTTTTTGTTTGCGAAACTTAACTCTGCATTTATTCAATTGAAATTGTAAAATATTTACTTTCCGTGACGCATCACGATGCAGCGAAACAAAGCTGGAGCCTTCCGCGGACTGCTAATCCTCTCTTTCTCGATTCGACAGCATCCACCCTTTCTCTGACGCCACATTATCATTTTTTCGCACTAGTGATGAATATTAAAATTTCATATTGTACCTATTTGCTTAAAATTTGTACCTAAACAGTAAACATGTATTTTTTGTGCATATATTTTTGATAGTTGGTGGACTACATCTTCCTTCTGTACCATAACAATTTTTGGACATACATGAAACTATAATTTACTACCTTCCAAATGTACCTAAAATAATGTGCTTGTACCGAATGTACTTTCAAATTTAAGAAGCTGAAGAGTAGGCACAATTCACACTAGGTTTACATCACTATTTCGCACCACTTGTTCTCTTCTTCCTCTTCTTCTTCAAAGTTATTTTTTACACTCTCATTCTCATAATAATGTGACGTCACACCCAGTTGCTCTCAGCTTGATCGGAGCAATCTTGTATTCCATCATTCTTGTGTAGGCATGGTATTCTGGGTTTTGGTATAACATAGAACATCCAAATATTAACCAAGCCAACCCAATAACGCAAAACTGATAAATTTGCACATTCATGCTTCTGGCATGAGGGTGACGATATGTGAATTAAAAACTTTAAAGGCGTCTTTCTCGGTTTTTCGGCTTTTTAAATTATGACAGTATTGAAGTAAATGAGCTTTATGTTCATTTTCATAACATTCATATTGGATATTGAAGTTAATATTCGAACGTTCGCCACAATATTTATTGGGTAATTAAAAAAAAAATTTAAAAAAAAAGTTCTCGATACTACGCAGTACTCATGGAAAGTATCGATATTCTGTACTCGGTACTCGTATCGTTCTATCACTAAGTGCATACATACCCGGAAGGAGCAACGCAAACTGTTGCACTTGTTTTTTATTTCGGACGGTGCCATCTGCATTTCGCCAGCTATCTCCTTCCAGTAAATGTCGATCTTTATAAGTATGTAGTAAGAATATTCCAGGTTCCTTCTCTTAGCTGTATGTGCTCGATCAATTTCTCCGTCTCCGCGCTTGTCCATTTTTCTTCGAGTTTCCGTGTTCTCTTCTTTGCTGGGCTGCTATCTTGGGATGCAGATGCGATGATTTCGTGGCTTTCTTCCATTACTTGTAATTAAAGTATTACAATTCAAACAGCAGATATAGTTTTTATTAAAAGAACAATAAACTTTTACCAAATTCTTGCAAAAATAGCACAATTAGTATCCCACTACTGCTTTGTATGTTTATTCTTAAAAAATGCGGGAAAATGTCAACTGGTTGTCAATTTGATTTGTGATGCCATTTGACAATATTTTGATTGATAAGCACAAGTTGTGGTGTTTTCACTGAGTTGCCATTTTGTTACTAAAACTTTTGTCATAGATTGACAATAGATGCCAACGGCACCGAATGGCAAGCGCTTTCATTAATTTGACAAAATGTGCCATTGAATTTGACATAGCCATAAGTTTTATGATTTTTTTGTTGACGCTGAAGCATATTTTCTTGTATATAAAAACGAATTCGAGCATCCGTTGCATGCAGAAAATGAGCGAAGAATTAGTGAAAAATAAAGTATTTATAAAACAGTTGTAAAAACTCCTCGTAACTACCTACATAAACTTTATTGATTGACTGTATGTCCATGTGCCAATTCCATTCAAAACAAAGAAGGACGAGTTTGGGACCTCACAAGACGTAAACATAATAAATAAAAAAATGTATATATGTAAGTTTCAAATGTTATTTACTAAGTATATGGAAATGTACATACAATTGATTCGTTAACATGAAAATTCTAAAATTATTTTTCCATTTCGTGTTTTTTTGTTTTTAATTTTTTTTATATTATTGTTGTCATAGATACATACATACATATGTACATGTATTATTGGCGGAAGCGGTTGTGGTGGTGGTGGTGAGGATCATGTTCGCCGATTAATTGTTTTTGGTGGTGTTGGTGATATTGTTGTTCAATTGTAGTGTTCTGTTGTTATGACGTTTTTTTTTTGGTTTTTGGCTCCCAATTTGTAACAGCACAATAAAATTGTGTGTCTGCGCTTGTTTTGTTTATTTGCTTATAAATCGGTTATGTTTTATTGCATGGACTTGGCTCATAGCATCAAGGAGTTTTATTTTACAGAAGATCCGTTCAATTTTCTAGTTCTCTATCTGCAACTATCCCGCAAGACTTACGTTTATATAAGCGTTATTACTGGTTATGGAATGATTAAATTTAATACATATTTTTAATTTATTTGTTATTTCTATAAAATTTAATAATATTTACTATCCTCTCGCCTAAATAATTCAACATGTACAATACATTTGAATATATATGCATATGTACTGTACATGCCTCTGAATTGAAGTAATTATATAATAATTATATAGCAAAAATGTTGCTGATAATATGAAAAGAAATCCCGAAAACTAATGTAGTTCGGGAAGTCAATGCATTATTTACTTTTATAAATATATATGTACATATGTACACACTACTTACAGTGACTAATTCGATTCAAGGTTATTAAGTTCTAGTTAAAAGGTTTTGAAATCACCTAAAATATGAAAAGTGGTCCAAAAGTAATGTCATAAATAAAAGGCCAATACTAAACTTCAAAAAACTCATATGTGTAGGCAGTTAGTCCATCATTCATCAGAAAAACTGGTGAAAACCTAAATGAGGGCAGTCATAAGCATTCTTCTTGAAATAAAAAGGATCTAAAAACACTTTTTGATTTTTAAGAATGTACATATGTAGCCCAAGGAGATGCTAATTAAAAAGTTGAATCCTTGTTTTAAAAATTAAATCGTTTAGTTTTTTTTTGTGAACGCCCCATTTTTTTCAAATAAATTTGTAAGATGCAAAGTTTTTTGTTTAGAAGAATTTTTTTAGGTAAATTCAAAGGGTTGATTACACTGGATCACAAATTTTAATTTGATTTTTGTTCTCCAAACGCCATTATCCAATGTAGAAGCGCCCGCTGATTCCAAAAATCAAGTTAATTTTTTATTCTATGAATACGTTTTCGAGATATTTTCAATTTACCGTTATTCAGCTTAAAACAAAACGTGGTTCCACTTAGTCACTTATATCTCATGAACAGCGCCGAAGAAAATAAACAAGGAAAAATTAATTTTAAGCGCTTAGATAAGCACTAAAACATTGGTAAATATGCTTGCAAATATGCTCGCAAAAGAACAAAATTTAAGTGCATTTTGATGTTTTTTTTTATTCACTGTGTTTCAAGGATTGATTACAATGAGCAATCAAGTGTTGCTTTATATACTCAAATAACACAGATCTGCGCTGGTCGTTGAAATTTTTTTAAATATTCGTTATTCTCCATTTGAGATAAATCATTTTTAATCTCTTCAATCAAATTTTTAAAATTTGTATCCAAACAGAAATATAATTGAATTTAACCTGGTTTTATGTTATTATTTGTAAAAATTTCTTTAGCTCGACGAATAAAAAAACGTCCAAGAAATGGTCAAGCAAAATTTATTTAGCCAAAGCAGTACACAGTTCTTAAGAAATTTGCTACGATTTCTACTATGGTATGTTTAAGTTTGTCTGTGAAGAGTACAAGGCACCTTTGTTTTGAACAGAAATATATGCCCGTTTTATTATTTCGTAAGGAAAAGTGAGAGGCTGTAAAATATAAGATGCCAAAACTGCTTAGACACAACCTTTCACACACACGAAATAATAGAAATTTATTTCTTAACCGTTTTCTTAAAAGGTTCGTACCTAGCTTTATACATTGAAATAAGCAAAATAAGCATGATCTTTGAAATTAAGCTTGGAAACCCTGAATAAGCAAAATAAGCAATTCCAAGTAAAGTTTAAACTTTTCGGCCCCGCTCATGAACCACTTTAATAAACGGAAAATGGAATACGGTAAATGAAAGCTAACAAAATTTTCCATAATACATTACTTTCCGATAGGACTGATAGTTTCTGCCAAATTAATATATTATACCAGTTTTTTTTGATAAACAAAATAAAAAATCAAATTTAACCAGGAGAAAAATTAAAAACTACCAGATTCACTGTAACATTCTTGCAGTTCTGAAAGCCCGTTCCTTTACAAACAAATCAAGTTACTAATGAAGCAAATCGATGGATAAATAAAGAAGTAATGAGTGGTCAAATGAAAATGCGCAAAGATTTTTTATATGAGAAATGAGCAGGAAATACTGTTACTTATACGCCATGTACACCTATGCAGCACCCTTTTATTCCATATATTTAATACTTCCATATTTTCAGCAACCTATCTGCGCAATGTGTTTGGATTCAGCAATCAAAGGGAGATGTTTTGAGCCAAATGTACGTTTTGCGCATGCGCAGGTTTTCCATGGATTAGTATCTGTGAATATATGTGACAATGCGCACATTCAAGCGAATTTGACGTATCCTCAGTAGCGCTTGAAAATAAATTGGAAGGGGGTTCTTTTACTTAGGGGGTGGTTATACCCCTTTTTTGACGAAGTTTGCTTATAAAAACTGAAACTTTATGAAGAAGTGTTAGAATTTTATTCTAAAGCTACCAGGAAATCAAAAAAATTTTAAATTTTTAAAATGATTACCAAATTATTATTTTAGAATGTTTAACTCAAACTGAATAAAGATTCACTCACTATTCCGGTAAAATAGAATAAATAACAATATTAACTTATTAAAAATTGTAGTGATCTTCATATAATATTCGCAATGTGCATTTGAAATTTTTTTTCGCCATTTTTTTTAATAAAAGTAGAGCTCATTATCTAACAAAAACTATGTAAATCCAAAGTCCAAACATTCTGAAAAAAAAATTTAAAAAAAGCCAAGAAAGTTTTATTAGAATCGCAAGATTTTTAGTTATAATTTGTGCAAATTAACTGCGTACCAAAATACGCATGTAAAGCTATTTTATTTAATTAATCTCTTTTTTCACATAAAAAGAGTCAGTGCGACATTTCGATAATTTTATTTATTATGAAATTCATGAAGTTAAATTTAAACTGAAAATTCCCTGTAATTTTCTTTTAACGTTCCGCCACTGCGATTTGTTTTGAATTCAAGTGTAATTTTATGAATACGATTACTCGGTTTTCCCTTTCTTTTTTTATACATCTGTACTTTAATGCTGACTGCACTTGTAGATACTGCCAATATAGAAGAACATATTACAAGGCAATTTGGCACAGAACCTGTTATTTTTAAAAGTTTTCTTCTGGGCGATTCCACTGTCACGGGTTGGATACTTGTACAGAAAAAATTTTCTTTCTTGTTTAAATTTAAGTATAAAGTAGTCAACAATTCTACATTTTGATAAAGCTGCACCTGATTGACTATTATACGAGTTTTTACAAAATACGAAAAAAGTTCCAAATTACTTTTATATGGAAAAAATCTGATTTATATCTTCTCTCACGGATGGGACAAAAAGAACCTGCTTTTTGGAGCAGATATATTTTACGGAAACTCTGCGAATTTATTTCACTTTTCTGTATGAACTTGATGTCTTATAATAAAACAAAGAACCAGGAACACAAACAAAGCAAAAACTACAAAAAAATGATGGCTTTATTATACAAAAAATCCCAAATTCCTCTGTCACGCGTGGGACAACGTTTGTCACGGGTAGGACACGAACGAATTTTTATATGAACAGGAGCTTTTAGTGTGGTCCATATACAAAGATTAGTTACTAAAAATATAAGAAGCCAAGTAGGGGTTAAATTCACTCATGTTTTATCTTAGGATGGTGCCTTTTATATAGAAGAAAATGCTTAGCACCGTCAGCCAAAAAAAATAGTAAAAATGACCGCGATTTCCTAGCGTCTTGAAATTATCACTTTTACCTACTTAAATTTAATGGACTACAAAACTGCATACCTAAAAATTCTGAACAAAAAGTTAAAATTTTTTGGGTGTAATTGTTAGTTTGTTGAATTTTTATAATTTTTGTAAGAAGTTTGAAATGTGGATATATGTGGTTCTGGTTAGGTAATGTGCTAGACTTTTATAAAAAAAAAAAACTATAAACATTAGATTAACAAAATAAAAAAACAAAACTGGTCAAAATGTTACTTAACTTAATCAGGTGACCACAAGGGTA